CTGGGTGGCGCAGTCGGTTAAGCGTCCGACTTCAGCCAGGTCACGATCTCGCGGTCCGTGAGTTCGAGCCCCGCGTCGGGCTCTGGGCTGATGGCTCAGAGCCTGGAGCCTGTTTCCGATTCTGTGTCTCCCTCTCTCTCTCTGCCCCTCCCCTGTTCATGCTCTGTCTCTGTCCCAAAAATAAATAAACGTTGAAAAAAAAATTTTTTTTAATAAAAAAAATAAAAAAATAAAAATAAAGAAAGTGGGTGCACGATGTCCTGCTTGGAAGCGGTTTTTCTAAATTGGCAAACACCTCCTTCATTATAGGCCACCCTGCTCTCTTTTAATGACAATATCAGAGAATGCCGGATGGCTTTGTAGGTCAATGATCACAGTTCCTCAGAATGTGTTGTATAAAACAGATTTAAATATTCTCCATCAAATTCTGGTCAAGGTTTATTTTGGTATGTGACATGTTATTTGTTCCCAATTCACTAACATTATCTTTAAACGTGTTAAGTCATTTGCAGGATTCAGCAATTTACAGCTATCATGTTTTACTTGTCACTGAAAGTACTTTACAGAGGTCAGATGACCAACAATCTGGGGCTTTGACCGGGAATTCTTGAATTGGATAAAGAGGTAGGACTTGACCTCAGTGGAGCTTTGAACTCCAAAATTCCACAATTTCTCAAGTTTGAAACTACTTCTACATTCCTGGGTAGTAAATGTATGATTATAACATCTAATCTTCCCTGAAATTCATGAGAGGAAAAATTTTAGATGGCTTGGTCATTAAACAACTAAACAATTATGCTTCTTGGGGTGCCTGGGTGGCTCAGTCACTTAAGCATGTGACTCTTGATTTCTGCTCAGGTCATGATCTCACGGTTCATGGGTTCAAGACCTGCATCGGGCTCTGTGCTGACAACATGGAGCCTGCTTGCAATTCTGTCTCCCTCTTTGCCCTTCACCCCACTCTCTCTCAAAATAAATAAATAAACATGAAAAAAAAGTTTTAATAAAATAAATCATTACATCAGTGGAACAATTTAGAAATTTTTCTTGGTGTAAAGTTTTAGATGACATTAATCAAAACTCAAAATAATTGCAGTCTAAACCAGGCTTAAACAATTTACAGTAAAATGCTAAGTTTTAGGGGTGCCTGGGTGGCTCAGTTGGATTAAGTGCCTGACTTCTACTTAGGTCATGATCTCATGGTTCACGAGTTTGAGCCCCACATCGGGCTCTCTGTTGTCAGCACAGAGCCTGCTTTGAATCCTCTGTCCCCTCTCTCTCTCTCTGCCCCTCTCCTGCTTGTTCTCTCTCTCTCTCTCTCTCTCTCCCTCGAAAATAAATAAAAATTAAAAAAACAAACACTAAGCTTTAGATCAGCACACAGAAACTGTAGAGAAGACAATTAAATATGCTGTAACAAAATATAAGAAAATAAACATTTATACTGAAGAATCAAATTTCAAAGAACACCATGAAAGTAACAGATGTTTGTCCTACATGGTCAAAAGAAGTAAGCAATATTCAAATGCCTTGATCTATAACTAACTGGACATTTCTTCGAAACCAAAGGATCAAATGTCAATATGCACCATCACTCAGCCACTTGCTCTCATTTTTGTGAAAGAAGAAAAACTTCAGAGGGTTTTACCAAATGTAATAGAAATTTATCTTCAATTTTCTAGCTTATATACTATAGTGGAAATTGTTCTACCAAGAAGATTTTCAAAAGTCGCTAGCATCAATCCCGAAGAAAGTTTTAAGAATTTAGGAATTTATGAAATTTGTGAAAATATCAAATTTACTTAGAAAGTTTTGCTATTTATATCTGTTGCTTCGAATGAAAAAAAAAACTTGAAATTAATAAAAAGTGTTCTTCAAATAGTACATGATTTTGCTCATTACAGTGAAAAACCATTAAATGTTTTTCAATTTTAGGGGCGCCTGGGTGGCGCAGTCGGTTAAGCGTCCGACTTCAGCCAGGTCACGATCTCACGGTCCGTGAGTTCAAGCCCTGCGTCAGGCTCTGGGCTGATGGCTCAGAGCCTGGAGCCTGTTTCCGATTCTGTGTCTCCCTCTCACTCTGCCCCTCCCCCGTTCATGCTCTGTCTCTCTCTGTCCCAAAAATAAATAAACGTTGAAAAAAAAAATTTAAAAAAAAATAAATATTTTTCAATTTTAATAAAATACACTAAAAAGTATTAATCCAGTTTTTCCTTTGTCTTTTACCATGCTTTCCCTTTGCTACCTTCATTTTTCTTGCCTTTTTTTTTACCACATTGCTTTAATTTTTTTTAATGTTTATTTATTCTTGACAGAGAGAGAGCACAAGCAGGGGAGGGGCAGAGAGAGGGAGACAGAGAATCTGAAGCAGGCTCCAGGCCCTGAGCTGTCCGCACAGAGCCTGACATGGAGCTCGAACCCACAAACTGTTAGATCATGACCTGAGCCGAAACCAAGAGTTGGACACTTAACCAACTGACTGAGCCACCCAGGTGCCCCATGATCAGATTGCTTTTATTGCTTTTTTTCTTCCACTGGTTTGGAAGCTACATGATCTGGTTTGAAAGTTTCATTGGTTTGATCTGTATTATCCTTAACTTTTAAAAATACATAGCTAATTTTGTGTTGATTAAGCCTAAAATTGACATCTCCATCCATCTTCCAAATGCTTGAGACATTTTAATATTTTTGGGTTTGTTTTTTTAATGTTTCCTTAGGAGGGAAAAACCCCCCAACTTTCCAGTATCACATCCTCAACCCAAATTATTGGACTTTATGTCGGTATAATCCATAGATGGGAAAGAAAAAAAATCTGAATTTCTTTAGTAATGTAACTTCATTATTCCATATCTAGTATTGTATACTGATTATTATATTCATCAGATAATAATACATTAAATCTAGATCAGCTTTTGTTTTTCTATTAAAGGAAGGATGAAGTGTTTTAATTTCACTACAGAAACTATTAAAAAGCAAGCAAGAGAAACCATCTGAGTTACTTGATAAAATGCTCAAGATGAATACAAACCAAGCATGTGGGAGTATAAACAGTATGCATGCATGTATATCGGAAACATGGAAAATGAAAATAAAATGGAAAGATGAGCATTAGAAAGCAAATAATCCTAATTTGTTGGTGTTTGAAAAATAACTGAAAAATTATTTTCATTTAAAATAAAACCAAGTGCAATAAGCCACAGCACTTAATTTGTAACAGTTAATGAAAAATGCATTCGCTTTTGTCACTATATAATTCCCAAACACTACACCTAAGACTAATGCTTAGGTAGAACTAGAGACCTCTCTCCAATACTGCACATCTTTTCATCTGCGCCCTTGTGCTATTTTTCTAAAGGAGATCTAGGAACAAATTGATATGTAGTATGCAATGTTACTGGATCAAAGTATTTGGATTTTATTATTAGGGCAAAGGGAATGACATCATCAGATTTGTATTTCAGTGAATTGAAGAGAGGGGTGGAAGAGACTGGGGAAAGTAGACTGGTTAGGGGGCTGCTGCCCCAACCATGTAAGATACGATGAAGGTAGAACAGCAGTAAAACAGAGAGTAGTAAATAGATTAGGGGGATTATTAGAGAGGCTGAACTGGTGAATATAGTTACTAACGATGTGGAGAGTAAGAATGGAAAATGATTCATTGGTTTCTGGCCTGGACAAGCACATTCTCAGATGCAGTCTGTGGAGGTAGGGAATATAAGACGCAAGTTTATCAATCAAGTGGGGAACTGGATAGAGAAAATGTCAGCTCACTTTTGGAATCAGCCAACAAAAGAATAAATTTATGCTGTTACAACAAAATAAAACTACACAGATGAGGTCTAAAGTTGTTTTTTAATTTTTTTAATGTTTATTTATTACTGGGAGACAGACACAGAGCGTGATCAGGGGAGGGGTAGAGAGAGGGAGAGACACAGAATCTGAAGCAGGCTCCAGGCTCTGAGCTGTCAGCACAGAGCCCGACGCGGGGCTCGAACTCACAAACTGCGAGATCATGACCTGAGCCAAAGTCAGTCACCTAACCAACTGAGCCACCCAGGTGCCCCTAAAGTTGTTTTTAGACGTAAGGCCACTAGGGGGCAGTAGGCTCAACAGTGAATACAAAATAGTTCTGGACCTACTGGAGCTTCTCAGTGCTGCTGCTGAGTTCACAAATGCTCTTTATTCACTCTAAATGTCATTAAAAGGGTTAAACATTTCATTCTTCAACAATCAAATTAAATAGCTAATAATTTAGTAATATCTAAATTAGACACAAACAGATCCCAGGTTATTTCTTTTAAATGTCAAGTTAAAAGGGCATGATACATTTGCTCCTCCTTATCCCTTCAATACAAAGGTGCTTCAAGCTTGTGTAATTGAGTTAGAAGTAAAGGGTAAGTACTGACTTCTATCATTCGAGAGTAACAATGCATTCTTAAAGAGCTTAAGTTAAGGAGCCACACAAATAAACATATATCATCATCACAGGGGCTTTCAAAAGTGTGTTTAACTCCAAAACACAATTTCCTTATAGCCAAAACAACTACTTTGGGGAAGATGAAAATACTCTAAAACTGATGGTGGTTGGGATACCTGAGTGGTTCTGTTGGTTAAGCATCTGTCTTAGGCTCAGGTCATGATCTCACAGCTTGTGAGTTTGACTCCCACATCAGGCTCTCTGCTGTCACTGCAGAGTCTGCTTCACACCCCCGTCTCCCTCTTTCTCTGCCCCTCCCCTGTTTGTGCTCTTCCTCTCTTCCTCAAAAATACATAAAAACATTTAAAATAACTGTGGTCGATGATTACACAACTCTGAATATTCTAAGAACCTCTGAGCTGTACACTTTAAATGGGTGAATTGTGTGGGTGTGTGAATTATACCCCAATAAAGCTATTCTTAAAAAATGACTACTTTTTAATCTACTCATAGCAGATTTTATAATTGGTCTAATTTTACATCAGGCTTCTCAGGCTTTATTAGACTTTGAAATAAGCAGGAAAACACAGAAAAAGTATATTTTATTGGTATTTAGGCCTAGCACAGTTCAATTCAAATAAAATGGAACAGAGCAATTTATTTAATTGAATACAACATATAAACATTTTTTTTTAAGTTTCTGTTTTATCATACGATTGTGTTCATGCAAGTACAATCATCAAACTTTCCTTCCAAGCATTTATCATAGCACCACCTTTTATTTGCAGTACTTGATATAAATTTCATTGTCAAACATATCTGGCTTTAGCAATGTAAACATTTGCTACAAGTAAACTTTAAAAGGTAAAAGTGAATTATACTAATGAATAAATCAAAATAAAACTGAGCATCACCACATGATATAATTCAACAAAATATTATATAATACTGTTTGAGTAAGAACTTAATACATTTCACAATATGGAAGCAGAAATAAGAAATAATATGTAAACTCCCAAAATAGTGTTAAAATACTGAAGGATATAATGTAAAATTTACCTCAGAAAAACAAGGGGAAACAACATAACCATGCAGTAAAAACCAAATTTGCTTTAGTAGTGATGACAGTTATTTTACTGCAAAGCCTTCCTAAAACGCATTCTGACAAAATGGTTTATTTTCTATCTCCCTTTTTAAAAAACTTATCACGTCTCATTACATAGGTTGGGTATTTTATGGGAATTTCACATTTGTCAGTTGTGGGATTGTTACCCCAAAAAACTTTCCATCTCTAAACTATTTTTCCAAATGACCAAAAACATTAAATTATCTACATGAAAATTACCATATATAAAGTCAAATAATTCCTAAACAAATCATCATAAAAATAAATCTGCCTTAACAGAATAAGTACAGAAAAAGGTGTATACATAAGTGCTTGAAAATCACAGATATATTTCAATGAATAGGCAAAAATGTTCACATTTATCATTACTGTCAATGATTTTGCTTACTTGATTAAAATCAAGAAACAAGTTTTCAAAAAGTCAACAAGGACATTCAGTGCCACTTTGTATTTTTCTGCAATATACAAATGAGTTATGTCTCTGTAGTGCAAGGCCAACTCTATTTCAACGCTTTAACATAATTAAGTTATAAAGACCTCAGATTTCTAAAACCAGCCATAATACTGTGGCAAGCAAAATAAATTTGTTCTTATTGCTCTTATATTCCAGCTTATTCTACAAATGTGAACATTTTTCCACATGTCTCAAACCATACTAATACAAAGAGTCTAGAGAGATACCTGTATTGGTTTCCACAGATAAACTGAAAAAGGAAATTGAAGTATTATTTCATCTTAAGTGTCCTTAATATGTTTAGCACTTCAAGCAGCACTTGACACAGCAAGTTTCTTCAAGTGATCCATAAACACTTGTAAACTAACATCATCTGTGAGAATAGGTGCTCCAGACTCCTGGAAGAAAAGAAAGATATTTGCTATGATTAAAACATAGCAGTTTTAACATAGAGTGTGCTGACAGCACAGAGCCTGCTTTGGATCCCGTCTCCCTCTCTCTCTCTGCCCCTCCCCGGCTTGTGCACATGTGTGCTCATACTCTCTCTACTCTCTCTCTTTCTCTCTCAAAAATAAAGGAATAAACATTTTTTAAAATGGAAATAAGTAAATAAATAAATAAATAAATCACAAGAAAATCACTGTAAGCAGAATAATGCCTATGCTCCAGTTGTATAATACAGAATCTGACTGGCCTTACTTAGTCCCAGGTTCCTGAGAGGGAAATTCCTTGGAATTTCCTAACATAGTGTCTTTGAAAACATAGTGTCTTTGTTATTCATAAGCCCTCAGATCACACTTGAGTTTATGCTTCGAGATGAGATAACTCAGGATGAGGGCCAATCACCAGAAAGATCAATATGATTAGAGGGTGGGGTGGGGGGATTTAAGACAGCCTGACCTCTAGGGAAGGGAAGTGAGGTGAAGGGAGGGAAAAGAGGAAGGGAGCTGGAGATTCAATCAATCCTGGCTGGTAGTAAAGAAACAAACAAGTAACTGTGGATACCAAAGCTCAGTGGAGCTTCCTGTTTAACAAATTTATCAATGCTAGGAGGGTGACACATCCTGATTCTACAGAGAAAGAGCACAAAAGCTCTATCTAGAACCCTTCCACACCTCACTCTGTGGGTCTCTTCGCTAATCCTTATTTGTAATCTTTAAAATAAAACTGTGATCATAAGTAACAGTGCTCTCCTGAGTTCTGTGAGTTGTTCTAGGGAATTATCAAACCTGAGGAGGGGCTTGTGGGGAAGCCACCCCCTACAACCACACACACATACACACGCACGCGCGCGCGCACACACACACACACACATCTGTAGCTAATTGGTCAGAAATACAGGGAACCTGGGATCCCACCTGCAGCTGGCATCTGAAGTTGGGGGCAGTCTTGTTCTGAACCATGTCTTTCACTTGCAGAATCTGCATTACCAGTAAGTGGTCAGCATCAGATTTGCACCGCAGAATCAGAATAGCTCCAGACCCAACTTAATCTTTATAGTACTAAAGTAAGTGCTCATTTGTCTTGAGACTGTATTGCCGCTTTTATCACTACTAAGGAATAAATCTCTCTTGGTGAGATTATTGCTGCCTACTAAAATACACTTGAGAGGCACCTGGGTGGCTTAATCGGTTGAGCTTCTGACTCTTGATTTTGGGCTTCTGATTCTTGATTTTGGCCAAGGTCATGGGATAGAGCCCTGCACTGGACTCCACACTCAGCATGGAGCCTTTTTAAGATTCTCTCTCCCTCTCTCTCTCTCTCCCCGCCCCTCCCTCTCTCTCTCCCCTCCCTCTCTTCTCTCTTTCCCCCTCTCTCCCTCTCTCCTGCTTGTGCTCCCTCGCTTTCTCTCTAAAATAAAAATAAAAAAATAAAATTGCACATATTTCGGGGCAGCAGGGTGGCTCAGCTGGTTGAGTATCCACTCTTGCTTTCAGCTCAGGTCGTAATTCCAGGGTCATGGGATAGAGCCCCATGTCAGGCTCTGTGCTGAACATGGAGCCTACTTGAGGTTCTCTTGTTCTCCCTCTCCCTCTGCCCCTCGCCCCTGCTCACAAGCTCTCTCTCAAATAAAAAAAAAGAAAAATAAGGAAAATAATATTGCACATATTTGGGGGCACCTGGGTGAATCAGTCAGTTGAGCAGTTGACTGTTGACTTTGGCTCAGGTCATGATCCCAGAATCCCGGGATCAAGCCCCACGTTGGGCTCTGCACTGAGCATGGAGTCTGCTTGAAATTCTCTCTCCCTTTCTCTCTGGCCCTCTCCCCCCCACTTTAAAAAAAAAAAAAACTGCACATATTTTAACAGAAATGCCAGTTGGAAGGAAGAATATTTACAGTGTTTTTATTTATTTTTAAATTTTTGTTTTTTTGGGAGAGAGGGAAAGAGAGAACAAGTGGGGGAGGGGCAGACAGAGAAGGGGACAGAGAATCTGAAGCAGGCTCTGTGCTGACAGCAGAGAGCCCAATGCAAGGCTCAAACTCATGAACTGTGAGATCATGACCAGATCCAAAGTCAGACACTTAACTGACTGAGCCACCCAGGCATCCACACAGCATTTTTAAATTTTTTTTTTTTCAACGTTTATTTATTTTTGGGACAGAGAGAGACAGAGCATGAACGGGCGAGGCGCACAGAGAGAGGGAGACACAGAATCGGAAACAGGCTCCAGGCTCTGAGCCATCAGCCCAGAGCCCGACGCGGGGCTCGAACTCATGGACCGTGAGATCGTGACCTGGTTGAAGTCGGACGCTTAACCGACTGCGCCACCCAGGCGCCCCCACACAGCATTTTTAAAATAAACTATTCTTATAACTTTTCATTCAAGTCACTTTAATTGATCTCTGTGGGTTCTAAGTAACAAGAGTTAGGGAAAATTCCTATCCTTTATTTTAATAAAAACTGTGTTGACAGAATGACCCTGGTAATCCAATCCACTAATAATGAAAAAGGTTTTCTAGGGGTGCTTGGGTGGCTCAGTCAGTTGAGAATCTATCTGACTCTTGATTTCGGCCCAAGTCATGATCTCACAGTTCCTGGGATTGAACCCCAGGATTCTTGCTTGGGATTCTCGCTTTCTGCCCCTCCCCCACTTACTCTTTCTTTCTCTGTCTCTCTCAAAATAAATAAATAAAAATTTTTTTAAAAAAGGTTTTCTAGATTTTATATCTGGATTTTTACATTTTTCACCTAATACTCAAGTTCTCATTTATAAGTAAATATAAAAAATCTAAAACAAAGTAGTTAGGTAATTTTCAGAGATCAGCAAGTGAGGATCAACTGTAAGATGGAAATTTATAGCTCTTGTAAATTCTAGTCTGGCATAGCCACAGACCTGCCATAACTTCTGCTGAATAAAGAAAAGTCCATTTTATTATGTATTTTCATGAGCTAATTATAAGAATTTTAAAAACTTGTTAAGGAAGGGAGACAATAGCACCGGGATTAACAGCTTGGAGTTTGGAGCCAGACTGCATGGGCTCAATTCCTTGCTCAGCCACTTACTGCCTGTATGACTTTGAGGAAGTTACTTAACCCCTCTGTGTCTTAGTTTCCTCATCTTTAAAATAAGGATAATAACAGGAACTATTTCACATGGTTGTTATAATGATTAAGTAAGTTCAACTGTATAAAGAAACAGAATACCTGACACACACAACAGGAATACATGTTTCAACTATTATCATTATTACCTTTTCTGAAAACCTATTATCTTATAACACTGAAATATCTTTCCTTATTCAACATTCACAGTTAACACAGAGAAGCAAAGGTCTCAAAAATATGACTTAGACTAGTAATAACCTGGTAGCTCTTGGATTTTTTCTTTCTGCAACTATTCCTGATTTTTCTTCAATTTACACATTTTCCACCCAATTCACCCAATCTCAGATCTATTTCTCCTGGTCAAGGCAAAATATATATCAATTTTCTAATTTATATACTGTAGAGATCTTATTTGAAATTATAAATAGTAACGGTCACCTCAAACTTATCAAAAACTTGCAGCTGATTGATCTTAATTTTTCAACTGTGCCTTTTTCCTCCTTAAAATATATCCAGGTTCAGGCAGAAAGATCTAAACTTTATATCATTTAGTATATGAAGCACTATAAGCAATGGGGAAAGAGTGTTGCTGTGGTGCCCTCTTCAGGCCATCCATAGATAAAACTCACTGGGGACTCGATTTCTGACAAAAAGAAAACTAAAGTGTAAGATTGTATAATTTTTAGTAAAATGCCTGGCTACCAAGTTAACTTCCTAAATAGCAATCATCAATTTAATTTAATGATTAAAAATTCAGATTCTCCAGTCATAAAGGCCTAGAGTCAAATCCAGACCTGCCATAATTTGCCTATGTGATCCTGGATAAGTTACTTAAGCTATATAAGCCTCAATTTCCTCTTCTGAAAAATACAGTTAATAGTACTCCCTCATAAGAGTGTTTTGATGATTAAATAGGACTGCATAAAAATCTTAGCACAGTAACTAAAACAGCATAGATTCAATTTATTAGTTATGATATCTATAAAAATATTAGCATAATTTACAAAAATCGTAGGTCAAGAAAGACCTTAGGGCTCTCATTTATGCCTCTAATGCCTTTGCTTCCAGGCTATAATAATTAAACTTCAAAGTTTAAAACAGATTTTCTTTCCTATTTAAAATATCTTTAGGGAGAGACTTAATTTTTTTCCCCATTGATAACAAGAAAAACTAATATTTACCAAGTCTTACCGTGCATATCAAGCACGTATTAAACTCTGTAATACACAAGGAAGAAAAGGCAAAGAGAAGACTTTGAAAACTTATAGAGGTTTCAACTACCAGCCCAGAATGATATTTCTCCATGTTTAACGGCTCAACAAGTTCTTTATAAGTCTACCAACTACATCTCCATGTTGTAATTTTTTTTTAAGTAGGCTCCATGCCCAATGTGGGGCTTGAACTCATGACCCCGAGGTCGAGAGTCGCATGCTCTACCGAGTCAACCAGGTGCCCCCATGTTGTAATTTAAACCCAGAAAAGCAAGAAGCAAGTTATTATTTACATGATCTAAACTACATTAAAAAAAAATTTTTTTTTAAATGTTTGTTTATTTTTGAGAGAGGGAGACAGAGCATGAGCAGGGGAGGAGCAGAGACAGAGGGAGACACAGAATCCGAAGCAGGCTCCAGACTGAGCTGTCAGCACATAGCCAGACGCGGGGCTCAAACCCATGAACTGTGAGATCATGACCTGAGCCAAAGTTGGACGCTTAACTGACTGAGCCACCCAGGTGCCCCTAAACTATATTTTTTAATGTAGAAATTAAGCTACAAAGATATATTTTATTTGGTCTGCATTAATGTGGGCTCACAACATTTTGTTAACTAAATTATGTGAATGGCAACAATCAGCTGGAGGGGAGGAACAGTTACCCCCTTTGGAAAAGGATTTCTGTATCCTTCCCATAAGCCCTCTGACCCCAGGTATTGCCTCTTCACAATGAGAGTATCAGATTTTCTTATATTCATCCAGCTTCACTCATCTGTTAGTCACCTGGCCCCTCAGAGCATTTGATAGGGGACCCGACAAATACGATTTTAAAGTATCCTTCAACCTCCCCTTCTCCATATTGACGATTAATCACCATTTCCAGGAACTTTATTAACTGGTGCTACTTTCCGGTTTTCTTGCAACTTTTTTCCCTAAACAAGTTTCTCTTTAGTTGTGAGATCCAGAACTAAAACCAGTACTCAGATAACTAAAGTATAATGGAAAGGCTGACTTATGGTACATTCTGTATTCCAAAATTCCACGTCATAGTTGGCTTTTTGTTCTACAGCAAGTGGAATGGGGTAGAGGGTGATACTGATGATGTATATGTATATCCATTATATGGGCATACATTTTTTACTCTCACGTGCTATATACTCTTTGTACATCTTCCCAGCGTGAGCTCCTGTCCTCACTATAAAAACCTTACCTTTCAGAACTTTTAGACCATGGATTCAACTTATTTATCTATATCATAAATGCTCCTTAACTCCTGAACACCTCCACAAAGCTCCCATACTCTAATCTCTGTTCTCCTGCCCAGATCTGTAATACTCAATACATGCTACGTTTAAGTACTGTGGAAAGTCAAAAATTAAAAGGACATAGCTATTACTCCCAAGTAACTTATAATCTAACGGGAGGGATAAAGACCCATCAGAAATGGATGAGGGGCACCTGAGCCAAAGTCGGATGCTTAACCGACTGAGCCAATCAGGTGCCCCACCCCCAAACACTTCAGGATATATCTCCCAAGGTCAAGGACACCCTCCTATATAACCACAACAGCAGAATCACACTCCAGAAATTTAATATTATACCTGTATCTGATATATGGTCCATATTCAAATGGGATACAAATCATCCCATTTATGTTCTTTATAGCTGTTTTCTCTAATCTAGAATCCAATCAGAATTCAGATTTTGCATTTAGCGATCTTGCCTTAGAGTAACTTTTACTTTCCTACAACTTCTAGCAAATCTCACTGGTTCCACTTTTAAAATATCACCAAAATCTATTCCTTTTCACTATCTTGCCTTCAATCCCCCTCATTTGGATTACTTCAAAATATAGTTTCAACCTACAGACTGTTCTCAATTAATCTTAAGATTCAACTATATTTTCTAAGACTCAAATTTGCTCCTCTGCCCAAAAGCCTTTAGTAATGTTTTATTACTTACCAATAGATTCAGCTCCTCAGCACTCAATCTGGCATTCAAAATCCTCTACAATTTAACTGCACAATACAGTTCCAGTTTATTGTTCTATTCATCCCTATATGTCCCTGTACCTTACTGTCCTCTACCTGGAATTCCCTTCCTCATACAATTTCTACTTCTTCAAATAGTAACCATTCTATAAGGAAATGTCCCCTCTCCTGAGCTCTTTTCTTATCACACACTGTCTCCTGCTGCCACCATGTGCTCTCTTCCTCTCTTCCTTCTCTAAACCCTCTATATTTTATATCTTTCTAAAAGAACATATAATGACTCGTGTATTTTAATTACTCAGATATGTATCTTTTCCTAATACTAGACTACAAACTCTTTAAAAGCAGGGATGATCAAGGGGCACCTGGGTGGCTCAGTTGGTTAAGTGTCTGACTTGGGCTCAGGTCATGATCTCATGGCTCGTGAGTTCAAGCCCCGTGTCAGGCTCTGTGCTGACAGCTCGGAGCCTGGAGCCTGCTTCAGATTCTGTGTCTCCCTCTCTCTCTGCCCCTCCCCGGCTCATGCTCTGTCTCTGTCTCTCTCAAAATATAAATAAACATTTAAAAAAATAAAAAAATAAAAAAAAGCAGGGATGATAAAAACGATGAATCACTAAATTCTACTCCTGAAACAAATATTACACTGTATGTTAACTAACTAGAATTTAAATAAGAACCTGAAACATAAAAAAAAAAAAAAAAAAAAGGATGATCACTATGTACTCTAAAGTACCAATACAGAATCCTGTACATTGGACACTCAATAAATGTTGACATACTGTATCAAGAGGTAGGACATTTAAAAAAATTAAAATATATTAACAATGATTTCCAGGCTTCCTGCCACTCTTATTCAACTACAATCCCTGACCTCTCCAACTTACTATGTGTGGCCCTTTTGTAGTTCATGTCCTAGTATTAGCTTAAATCATCACTTCCTATCTTATACACTATATTGCTTTCTGTCTCAAGGGTGTAGTACTAAACTTGGGATATGAAGGAATTCTATTTGACATAATTACTTTTTATTTTCTATGGTGCCACCAAATGCTTAATTCGATTTTCTACTCATTTTTTCCTTACTTTTGCAACAGAAATCATTAGCAAATATGCTTAACTGACTGAGCCACCCAGGTGCCCCCCAATTTTTTTTTTAATGTTTATTTTTTGAGAGAGAGCGAGAGAGAGAGAGAATGTGAATGGGGGAGGGGCAGAGAGTGAGAGAAGCAAATATGTAGGAAAATGTGTAGTTCTCATTAAAATGACAAACTATAAATACATAAAGAAATAATTTCCCAAATCCACTATTTACACTTACCTGTCCCCAGGCATACATATTATTATGAGTCTGGGAAGGGTTGACTTTTGAAAGCAGGAAACGGGCCTTAAAAGCAAAGAAGAAATAACATCCATCAAAAATATTTAGTTAATATGAGCCAAACAAATACATTATGTGATCTAAAATTTAATTAAAAGGCAACTTTTTAAAAATGAACTAATTTTGGAAATATGTAGGCCACTACATGTTACAAATAAATATACCCTCTTCTCTCTAAACCATACATTCATAACAACAAATAATAAATTAGTCAAAAATTCAGTATATAAAAATTATGTGTGCAACAAGTAGGACAAGATTAGTGTGAATTTTACTAAACACTTGGTATGAAACATCATCAGAGGTTTGAAGTTCCAAAAAGTGACCTACACATTCTTTAAACAATGACTCTCAAACTTTTTTAAACTGCAGGCTATTCCATAAGACAAGTTACCTAACATTTTAACCATCTATCCATTAAGTCATATCATTGTAAAAATAATAACCAAAATAAAAGCAGAAAATAGCACTATACATGGTAAGATGGTAAGACATTGATGAGAGAACCAGGCATGAATATAATTTCATATTGGAAGAACACAAGCAGTCCTATCTTTTGAAATTTAGTACCACACAAAATCATTTTCTACTCTATGAGTAAGCAGCTTAACACAAGAAAATTGGCTCTAGAGTCAGAACACCTAGATTCAAATCCCAGTTTCTCCATTTACTGTGTTTCCTTGGCGACAAGTAACCTAAGTCTTGGTTTTATTATCTGTAAAATGGAGGTAACAACAGAATTGTTAGAAGGGTCCAATGGGATAAGGTGTGTAAAGTACTATCAGCTTTGCAAATTCTCAATACATGGTAGCTCCTATTATAAATATAATAAAATCCTAAAAATAACTGCTATCATTTCTGAATAATAGTTACTGATATTTACCACCTACTTTATAATACTGCACTAGGCACTACGGATACAACAACAAATGAAGCAAGATCCCTGCCTTTAAGGAGAAGAGAAACAAACTTATAATAATTTATAATTACTTTATTATAATTCTAATAAAATTATAAGGGAGAAGTAAAAAGTGTTTTCAGAGTGTACAGAGGCACCTGAGGCACCTGGGTGACATAGTCGGTTAAGTGTCCAACTCTTGATTTCTACTCAGGTCGTGATCTCATGGTTTATGAGACTGAGCCCCACATCGGACGCTATGCTGACAGCACAAAGCCTGCTTGGGATTCTGTTTTTCTCTCTCTCTGTCCCTCCCCTGCTTGCTCTCTCTCTCAAAATAAATAAAAACAAAGTTAAAAAACAAGTGTATGGGGGTGTCTGGGTGGCTCAGTAGGTTGAGCATCCAACTCTTGATTTTGGCTCAGGTCATGATCCTAGGCTCATGGGATTGAGCTCCACATCAGGCTCCATGCTGAGCATGAAGCCTGCTTGAGATTCTCTCTCTTTCCCTCTGCCCCTTTCCCCCACTTACTCTCAACCTCAAATTAAATTTAAAAAGGCGGAGGGGAGGAGGCTCTTGAGTGGCTCAGTCAGTTGGGTGTCCAGCTTTGGCTCATGTCATGATCTCGCAGTTTAGGAGTTTGAGCCCCACGTTGGGCTCTGTGCTGACAGTTCAGAGCCTGTTGCATGCTTTGGATTCTGTATCTTCCTCTCTCTCTGTCCCTTCCCTGCTTGCACTTTCTCTCTCTCAGAAATAAACAAACATTTAAAAAAAAAAAAAAGAGTGTATGTTAAGGGGTCTTCAACTTAGCCTTCTGAAAGGCTATATGCACACATATATGTATGTACGTGTGTATATGTACATGTATCTTATTTAATCCTAATAATTCTAAAAACCACAAAGCCTTTTGTAATATCATAATGTTTTCCTATTACATGACATTTTCTAGAAAACTGAAATGACAGAATGAAGAAAACAAAAAACTGTTACCATAAACTTCATATTCATAGACTTTTTCATTAAATACACAGATTAAAGAAAATTACACTGAAAAAGGTACACTAAATTATTTTCCAACTTGCTCTTCTTGCTCGGCTAAAGCAGACAAACCACCATAACACCATCCTGGCTCTGTTATTAAATCTGGGCTGGTAGCAGAAGATGGGAGAAACTGCTAGCTTTAGGTAACGAGTCAATAACCACTGCTTTGCACTCAAAGCTAAGGCAAAAAGCAAGCATATTTTCCCTTGTAAACCTCCTCCTATCCATCTCCTCCCTCTTTTACTTGCTTTGGGAAGCAGTCTATTCAAATTAAAGTCAGAAGGCAAATAGCAACAACTCATTACAAAACTAGCAACAAGCAAATTAACTGTACTTACCTGGCTACCTCCATGTTCAGTATCAATGTATCTTGGCATTGGAAATCTGGAGTGAAGAATCTCCTGGGCATCATCCACTGGGGCTTGTAGAAGATGGCGGAAATTTTCATATTCTGGCATGTCTTGGTATCCTGACTTGCGCCACTGTGCAATGGTCTAATTTTAAAACAATTAAAGGAATTATTACTTTTAATTTCTTACCTATTCAAAATCTTTAAGAGATTTTTACAAAGGAATTAATCTTCAGAAAATAAGAAAACTATAGATCATTATTTCATTTATCTCAGATTTTAAATTAATACTACGTATTTTTGAGTAAATACATGAAAAATGAGGTTACTTCTCCTTTAAAAGTAAAAAGAAGTAATAAACTAGAAAATGTGCCTACAGAAGACTTCCCAGATACTTCAAAATTAATCACCGACTATTATAAAATCTTTATCAATGGAGTTACATTCTAGCAAGACATGAAAACATAAAAACTTTAATAATAATAGCAATAACACTATAAATATGCCTGGAAAGAGCATCTGAGTCAATTCTTTTATTAAGGTAATGGCTCCAAAAAGCATGGGATTAAATCAACCAAAAATTTAAATTTGGTTTGGTTTCTAACTTAACTGCATCAGTCAATACATACTCTGCATCACTTTATATCTTTGTAGTTAACAGAGGAACAGTCATGTGCATTTCAGACGTCTCCTTTAATTACATTAACAAGCTACTTAAAATTACACACACACACACACACACACACACAAAAGCAAAATATTTCACTCTGTCATGTAATAGGCATTATTCTTAAAAATTAAAGGACATTAGTACTGATATCAATTAAAAACAACAATCAGTAAATCTCTTAACAGGTCTAGATAATATTACTCAAAAGGATATTTTGAGTAACACCTCTACTCTTACAGTGCAAATCTAAAATCACAACTAAAACAATTGGAAAAGTAAATCTGCACAAGTTACTATAATTCTAGACTAGAAGTTTGAGTGTGGGTCTATGAAAAACGAATCTCTATCTTTCAAGGCATCCAGAAAACAGTACTTTCTTATACAGAGAAAGCATTTAATTATTGCTGAGTGAGTAAGTGCAGGAATGAACAGACCTCTGCTAAAGAACTGAATTAAAGGGGCGCCTGGGTGGCTCAGTCGGATAAGCGTCCGACTTCAGCCAGGTCACGATCTCGCGGTCCGTGAGTTCGAGCCCCGCGTCAGGCTCTGGGCTGATGGCTCAGAGCCTGGAGCCTGTTTCCGATTCTGTGTCTCCCTCTCTCTCTGCCCCTCCCCCGTTCATGCTCTGTCTCTCTCTGTCCCAGAAATAAATAAAAACGTTGAAAAAAAAGAACTGAATTAAAGTTTACTGACTACTCAAATATCTTCTCTTTTCAATAATTTACCATTCCAATTAAGAGAAGGTATAAATTTTAATTCACTTATGCTTTAAATGAGTTTTTAGATCATGTGGAATATTTTTAAGAATAAAGTGCTTTCTACACATCATACAGAATACTTTTTAAATGATTACGTGAAATAATGAAAGGGAAAGCCTGCCTACTGACAAAGGCAGACTTTTCTCCTCTTGAGGTCTTCAGGTAAAATCAAAAGTATTATACTCCTACGTTTACATCAATGTCCTTACTTTCACAATACTATGCTTTGTGTAAAATCCACTTGTTGAATCATATGTAGACAAATGGACAAAATAACCACAGGTGGGTAAACTGCAAATGAAGTCTAAAAACCTGTAGTAGGAAAAATCATATTTAAACCTATTTTATAAAAATGGAAATAAAGTTTCTCATAGAGGAAACAGTAGCCATTTAGTGAAGGGGGGAAAGTTTCCATAAATAAAAAGACTTTATTGCACATACATGCATAGCTTTAAATGCTATGGAATCTTACCTCACCATGGTAAATCAGAATCTGGAAGAACGTGTCCATGAGAAGAATGCGATCTGCAAGAATACTGCTGCTATCAAGAAGAACCGGCTAATGGAAGAAAACAATGAGAGAAGAGGAAGATGGAAAAATAAATTATTTAAAGATACAAAATAGATCTTTCCAAGATATTTTTATAACTTTAAATTTCTACCTTACAACTTAAGACATCTTGCTTTCATGAATTCTTACAGTATATTTTAATTTTCTGAGAAATCACAACAACTAAGGTAACAATAGAAAACCAGAGTAAAGCCAAGAGAAAATCAGGGATAACTCCTAAGTCTGGTGATGACCCCACTGAGTGACAGACAAAAAGCGTGGGAAAGGGGAAATTTGGAGACAGAAAAATAGTTCTAAGTAGAAAATGAAAGGGAGTGGCCAGAATTAATGACATAAATTTGGGTATCACATGCATAAAGATGGTAATTAAAGCTATGTGATTATACTGTATCACTCAGAGAAAGGAAGACAGAGAAGAATCCAGAGATAGAGCCCTAGAGCATGCCAACACTTAAGAGATCTGAAAGGAAGAAGTCAGCAAAAGGAGACGGAGAAGGAACAGGCAGTGATTAGGAAGAAAACTAGTAGGTACTGCAGGTGTCAGTGAAGCCTAGGACAAAAGGTTTCTAAGGACAATCCTCATTAGGTAAATGCTGTTGAGAGTTCTGGCAAGATGTGGGACATTGGTAGCCGCTTGGTAAGAGTTGTTTCAGTGTAATGTTAGGGACAAGAATCTGAATAATCTAGGTTGAGAAGAGAATGTGAGGTGAGATCATACAGTTACTCAGGTAACAGTATTACTGAGTTTAGCTGCAACTGAGACCAAAGAAATGAGGTGGCAATTAGAAAAAATGTGAAGCCAAAGGTGGTTCTGTTTGTTGGTTTTTAACGTGGGTGCTATTTAGGGTTCTATGTTAATGAGAATGATCCAGAGGAACAGCAGGTGATGATGCAGGAAGGAGGAAAACTCCAAAAGCAAAGCCTTAAGTAAATGAAGCTACTGGCGTTCATGGATTAAATGGCAAGGTTAGAATTTAACAGCAGCAGGTAATAGGGATGGTGGGATTCCAAATTTCTTCTAAACAGTAATCTACATTTTACAGGTATCTAAATTTACATATATTACTCTGAAATTAGAAACAAAATCTCTAAAACTTTCTTTCCTGATTCAAAGAACTACAAGACCAAATAAATAACTAGACCATCACATTAACACCTTATATTTTCTAGAAAAGTAGAAACTATGACAAACTACTAAAAAAAAAATTATAGTAACAAAATAGAATGTTTTATAAACTATTTTTTACAAAACAGTATATAAAGGCATCACGAGAGATCATGAATCAAGAGATATTATAAATACCCTCTTTATACGGACCATTCTTCAATATTATTTTCACATATAGTCATTATATACTTTTAAGTGGTAAAACAGACAACATTAGCTACAAAATAGAAAAAACTGTTTATTTGATAATAGGTTAAAATAAGTGGGACAGTTTGCTAGGAATGGCATAGCTTTATCACGGATAACTTTATCATCACCTAAGCATACATCTTTATAATCAACTGTATCTCATGTTCAGGAGAGGCTACAAGAAAATGACATTTTAAGCAAGAAGCTTTGTTCAGACAGAATGTCCTGTCAGACACTAAACCCTGGAATAAGCTACAGGTTCTAGAATCATTACCTCTGGGCACTGTTAAAGATATGAGAACAATCATAAACCCTACAGAATTTGATCAACCAAATAACTGCATAAATTGATCTTAAAAGTTTCTTCCACCTCAATTTTTCTATTTTTTTAAATGATTTCCTAGTGCAATCTAGCATATAATAAGCACTCATAAATATCTGCAAATATATGAATAATGTAACATAACTTCTTAAACTAAATTCTTATATGTAGTAACTATATTCCAAGAAAAACTTAATTGTTTTCACTTTTTGATGACACATCACAGCAACAACCAATTTTTGTTTTCTGTTTCTCTTACCTCTGGTGGTCCACTAAAAGAATATGCATACAGAATAGGCTGAATCATGATTAGAGACTGAGTCAAATCTTGACGCATAAAATGATGACGATAATATGAACTCTCATCAGGACTATTGTTAAAAACTTGCAAGAAAGGAGATCTTCTTAAATGAAACATAAACTACAAGAAAAAAACATGTGAGATAGGTTTTACTGATTTTATTGCAACAGTTTACTATTACAAAAGCATCTGATTATAACTATTAACACAATAAAACAAGTTATAATAAGAACATTCTAAACTGTACTCCTCAGAATCTTACTATGATCTTTATCAGTTATTTAAAAATATAATTCAACAACAAGACACTCGGTTGAGTGTCCAACTTTTTTTATTTTTTTTTTTACATTTTATTTTTGATATATATATAGAGAGAGAGAGAAACAGAGCACAAGCGGGGGAGGGGCAGAGAGAGAGGGAGACACAGAATCCGAAACAGGCTCCAGGCTCTGAGCTGTCAGCACAGAGCCCGACGCGGGGCTCGAACTGACAAACCTAGAGATCATGACCTGAGCAGAAGTAAGACACTTAACCGACTGAGCCACCCAGGCGCCCCATTGAGTGTCCAACTCTTGATTTTGGCTCAGGTCATACTTTCAGGGTCACGGTGTCCTACACGCAGCATGGAGCCTGCTTGGGATTCTCTCTTTCTCTCCCTCTGCCCCTCTCCCCAGCTCACATGTGCACTCTCTCCCTCTCAAAAAATAAGTTAATTAAAAATGTGTGTGTAGGTGTGTGTGTGTGTGTGTATGTATATACAAAACAATAAAAAAATTAAAGTAAAAGAGGTGACTCAAAAGGAAAACAAAAATAGGAACAAAAAACTCCTTGCTCTGGTCTAAGTTATACTACATGGTGCATTATCAGCATCCTTTCTTTTTATTCCTCATGTCTTTGGCCACAACTCTGAACTTTTTTATTACTGTTCCTTACCACCACCAAAAGACTCCAAGAGTAAAAGTAGATTAACAGATTTTCTACTTTTTGTAGGGCTCCCAAAAGTTGTACTGGGAAGGGTCAGCGATGACAAAAAAAAAAAAAAAAAAAAAGAAAAGGACTTACATATATTCACATTTTTAAGTACTTCCTCATCCCTAAGAAACATTCTCTAGACTTTTTTTCATTACTTCTTTCTCCTTTCACTTTCCTTCTACCCACTCCTCATATTAAAGAGCTCAAAAAGGGAAGAGTTAGGCCTGAAATAGAGTCTCAGATACAATCAACAGAATCAGCTCTCCAAAGAACTCTCATTTGTCTTGGAGTTTCCTCCCAACTTCCTTCAGCCCTCAGGGCCCAAGTGCTTGTGTGTTGCTCCTGCCTGGGACTCAGTCCACGCTTCTCTCCCAGCAAAGGCAGCTCAGTGACATTCTCATTCCTTTTCTGTTTTCAGTGATCAGAACTCACTGAGAGGCTCTCTCATCCCTCACCACTTTAGCCATTCCTTACTAACAGAAATGTGTAATTGGTAAATTTGGGGGTAAATATTTTAGAAATAAAGACCTTCTTTAAATGTAAGCTATGCCACCTTTTGGAAGACCATCAGGCTTTGAAACCCCCCAAAAAAATTATCTCTGGGCCCTCTGCTATTTCCAATAGAGGGGAAAAGATGGGATGTCCAGATCTCTTGGGAGATCTACCAACTATCAAAAGCCTAAAGAGAAGGTTTGGAGTTAGGAGAGAAGAAAAAGGAAAGTGTATGGCTCTCAGTCAAATACTTATTAGGCTAATGCCTTCATTCTCTTTCCTATTAGTTTCTGCTACTAATAGGCCTAAGGATTCCCAAATCAGAAACGGTTCTGTCTGCTTTAAAACAAATAGACTCTGCCTTTTGCTAGTTCTCCAAACCTGCAACCAGAGGTTTAGGGAAGTCTCCCTGCATAAACAACAAGTTTCTACACCAGAGATCAATAAAAAATGTTCAAAAAAAATATTAATAAGAGTAGTTCAGAAAAGAAAGCTGAAGGTTTAAGCAAAGTTTTCATGGGCAAAATTTAAATTTCCACATCTCAATGTAATCATTATTCCAGACTGAGCTAAAATGCTCCTTCTTCTATAAAGGTGTATCACAACATTCACTTGGAAGGATTCCTCTAAATTTCCTTTAAGTTTTGCATATCTCTCATAGCATTTCTCTCTTTCTGTTCTGCATTAGGTATATTTCAAATGACACCCTTCAAACTGAAAGATCCTTGAAAGGAGGATCCATGTCAGCCATCTTTATTCTCCTAAAGTTCCCTTCACACAGAACTCAGGTGAATAAATGTTATCTATGCTATTCATCATATAAATAAGCAACCAAGACTTTTTTAAATATCGATCAAAATAAGACAGGTAGATTCAACTACCCAAGTGGAAAAACTTCCCTAAGATACATAAAATCAGCTCTTTCTATTTACCTGGTATATCAGATTGTTCTGTAAGACTAGCTGACCAGTAAAGTTACTTCCTTTTGGTACTACTGTAATTAGATCCTTTATATTAGATGGAAAGTTGAAAGTTAATCTGCCAGACATCTGATTCTACTCCACACTAGGACTCCAGTGTAAATTTCTACTCACCACAAACAGATGAATATTTTCAAGGCCATCATAAAAATACTATATATTTAGGGGTGGGTGTAAAAAAAAAATACTATATACTTTTCACTGACTACTCAAGCACAATAGTGATTTCTTAGCTATCCTAAACTTACAACATTACCAAAAGAATAACCCAATACAACAGGTCCTATAAGATGAGTAATAAAATACAACAGGAAAAATGAGACCCAATGCTACTGTCAACACTAAGAAAAGAACATGGACCTTTTATCTACTCACCTGAGGGTAAAGGGAGAAAGTTTCTGAAAATCTGAAGGAGCTTGGATCATCTTTGTGATATTCTCCAAATTTCTGACACTAAATAAAATAAAATGTGTTAGCAATATTTTCCCTGGCACACAGCTAAACAACCCTCTTGCCTATATGTTTTCTATTTTTAAAAAGCTATTACTCTTTTTTTTTTTCTTTTTTAATTTTTTTTTTCTTTCAACGTTTATTTATTTTTGGGAGAGAGAGAGACAGAGCATGAACGGGGGAGGGGCAGAGAGAGAGGGAGACACAGAATCGGAAACAGGCTCCAGGCTCTGAGCCATCAGCCCAGAGCCCGACGCGGGGCTCGAACTCACGGACCGCGAGATCGTGACCTGGCTGAAGTCAGACACTTAACCGACTGCGCCACCCAGGCGCCCCAAAAAGCTATTACTCTTTAGAAGGCAGATAATTGATATAGGATAAAATCTGAATATTACTTATAGACTTACCAAGAGAATAATTACAACTAAAGAAATACATTTGAATTTGAGAAGCAAACAACATATTGCTCCAATGAAGTAACCAGTCATCTTCAAATGTTTGGATTTTTCTTTTTTTCTTTTTTTTTTTTTTTTTTTTTTGGAGAGAGAGAGGGCACAAGTGAGAGAGAGTGGGAGAGGGAGAGACAGATAAGTGGGGCTCATCAAAAGCAGGGCTCGAGCTCACATGATGTGGGACTTGAACTCACAAACCATGAAATTATGATCTGAGCCAAAGTCAGATTGCTTACTGACTGAGCTACCCCAGCTGCCCTAAGAAATCTTTTTTTTTTTCTTTTAAGTAAGCTCTATGCCCAACATGGAGCTCGAACTCATAACCCGAGATCAAGAGTCACATGTTCTACCAAATGAGCCAGCCAGGAGCCCATTGTTGTTATACTTGGGTAACCAGTGATATCCACAAGGCTAATTTTCAGAGTAGGGCATGTTTGAGACTTATGTCCAAAATTTTCCTTGCATTATTAACATTTTGTATATCACTAAATATAATCTATTATTCCATTGAACATTTTTCATATCACTAAATATAATCTATTATTTCATTTTTAAAAGCTGACTACATTAAAATATACACCATAACAATCTTATCTAATCCCTCACTATTAACATATATATTTATCCTGTTATATCTTTAGGATAAATTCTTAGTGGTAGAATTTCTAGGTAAAAAGAAGTTTTTAAGTTTTTGACATATGTCACCAGCTACCTTCTACATATAAGGTTATACAAATGTTTATAAAAGTTGTACAATTCAAACCAACAAGCTATGATGCTGTTTCCCTGAATACTAACCAATTCTTAAGCGTTACTGTGTTTTTCTAATTCTTACCAGTTTGACAAATATTGTTGTCTTTTTCTATTTTCTAACTTTGATTATACATAAGATTGATAATTTTTTCATATGTTTACTGGTCACTTGCATTCCCTCTTTTGCTAATTCCTTGCTCATGACCTTTGCTCTTTTTGCCCAAGTCTTATTGATTTATAAGAGCACATATACATGAATATTTCCACATTCTGCCAAATGTAAAGAATATGTCCTACATACAAATCATACATAAAAGATGGCATTAAATTCTGCTAATGGTATTTTTACCACACAGATTTTGTTTCATTTTAATACATCTCTTAATATTCTTATTTAATGCTCCTGCTTTTCATTTCATGTTAAAAGTCCTTCTGCCTCCAGGTTAAATGCATATTAACCTATTTCCTGATAAATATAGCCTAAAGTATAAACTATATATACAACCTAAATAAAGTATGTATCGGGTATAAGTATATATATATAGGTTAAAGTTGTATAGGTTATACTACAGATAACAATATAAAACTTGCATTATATATATATATATATATATATATATATATACATTTCTAATCTTTGCATTACTTCTTAAAAAAATTTTTTTAAATTTTTTTAATGTTTATTTATTTTTGACAGAGAGAGAGACAGGGCATGAGTAGGGGAGGGGCAGAGAGAGAGGGAGACACAGAATCTGAAACAGGCTCCAGGCTCCGAGCTGTCAGCACAGAGCCTGACGCGGGGCTCGAACTCACAGACCGCAAGATCATGACCGGACGCTCAACCGACTGAGCCACCCAGGTGCCCCACTTCTTAAAAATTTTTTGAACATTTATCAAGTGCCCTAGCATTAATTACTGGAATCATGAGGAGCAGTCCTATACAACCTAACCAAAATACAAATATAGATGGGAAAAAAAAAAAAAAGATTGAAGCATAAAGGAAGTGTATCAAAGATTCATGGTCTGACTTATTCAAGAGTTAATAAAACCAGGCAGATAAAGCAACAGTAATATAATTTTCTTGAGGAAAATAACACTTGCAAGATATCTAGTTCTGTCTTTAATTCAGTAATTATTTATGTATAAAGGCATACAAATAAAAGGACCCTAATGGTCAAAGTCTAACCTCTATAAGAAAATGGTACTGGGGCACCAGGTGGCTCAGTCGGTTAAGCGTCCGACTTCAGCTCAGGTCGTGATCGCACAGTTCGTGGGTTTGAGCCCCACGTCGGGCTCCGTGCTGACAGCTCAGAGCCTGGAGCCTGTTTCGGATTCTGTGTCTCCTTCTCTCTCTGACCCTCCCCCGTTCATGCTCTGTCTCTCTGTCTCAAAAATAAATAAACATTTTTAAAAAATTAAGAAAAAATAAAAAGAAAATGGTACTGACAAATGTGGTCATCTTTTTTTTTTAATTTATTTTTTAATATTTATTTATTTTTGACACAGAGAGAGACAGAGCATGAATGGAGGAGGGGCAAAGAGAGGGAGACACAGAATCTGAAGCAGGCTCTAGGCTCTGAGCTATCAGCACAGAGCCTGACGCGGGGCTCAAACCCACACACCGTGAGATCACGACCTGAGCTGAAGTCGGACGCTCAACTGACTGGGCTACCCAGGCACCCCAGAAATGTGGTCATCTTTAAAAACAACACATCTAGGGGCGCCTGGGTGGCTCAGTCGGTTAAGCGGCCAACTTCGGCTCAGGGCATGATCTCGTGGTGAGTTCGAGTCCCGCGTCAGACTCTGTGCTGACAGCTCAGAGCCTGGAGCCTGTTTCAGATTCTGTGTCTCCCTCTCTCTGACCCTCCCCCATTCATGCTGTGTCTCTCTCTGTCTCAAAAATAAATAAACGTTAAAAAAAAAAATTAGGGGCGCCTGGGTGGCGCAGTCGGTTAGGCGTCCGACTTCAGCCAGGTCACGATCTCACGGTCCATGAGTTCGAGCCCCGCGTCAGGCTCTGGGCTGATGGCTCCGAGCCTGGAGCCTGTTTCCGATTCTGTGTCTCCCTCTCTCTCTGCCCCTCCCCCGTTCATGCTCTGTCTCTCTCTGTCCCAAAAAAAAAAAAACTTTTAAAAAAAAAATTAAAAAAAAAAAATTAAAAAAAAAAAAACATCTAAAGTGCCTTGTCACACTACTGTTAAGAAAAAATTTGGCTGGGGTAGCATTTAGTAGGAAAGTCCCAAGAGTCTTAAACAAGAGACATTTCCTAGGCCAAATCTAATCAGATGAACTGAACAGGGAAAATACAATTATTTTCAAAATAACTAACAAAACACTTGTTAGTGGTAAACCAAAAGTCTAAAATGGAAAAAAAAAAAGTCAAATATCAAGTTTAAGTTGTAAAAGGATGTCACTCAGTACAAAAGGTCAGGAGTCAAAAATGTAAGGAACAACAACAAAAAAGGTAAGAAACAAATCCATGAAGCTGGGCATAAATAAGATGGACTCAAAAAGAGACTGAGGATGGATGCAACAAATCATATGTTGATACCAGTGTCTTAAGTGATGCTGACAAAGGGAAGCAAAGACTTACAGTAAATGTGTCAGAAGCAATTGTGGTACAGCACGATCTGGCCATACATTGCCCCATTATCTACAAAACAGTCTTTTTTAAAAAGATGTTGGGTTTCGGGGCACCTGGGTGGCTCAGTCAATTAAGCATCCAACTTTGGCTCAGGTCATGACCTCACGGTTCACAGGTTCAAGCTCCATGTCGGGCTCTGTGCTGATAGCTTGGAGCCTGAAGCCTGCTTTGGATTCTGTGTCTCCCTCTCTCTCTGCCCCTCCCCCTCACACGCTCTGTCTCTCTCAAAAATAAACATTAAGGGGCACCTGGGTGGCTCAGTTGGTTAAGCGGCCGACTTCGGCTCAGGTCATGATCTCACGGTCCGTGAGTTCGAACCCCGCGTCGGGCTCTGTGCTCAGAGACAGCTCAGAGCCTGGAGCCTGTTTCAGATTCTGTGTCTCCCTCTCTCTGACCCTCCCCAGTTCATGCTCTGTCTCTCTGTCTCAAAAAAATAAACGTTAAAAAAAAAATTTTTTTTTAAAGAAAAATAAAAAAAAATAAACATTAAAAAAAATTTTTTTAAGATGTTTGTTTTGTTTTTGGGTTTTTTTTTTTCACTTTTTTGAGAGAGAATGCATGCACACAGGTTTGCATGCAGGAAAGAGACAGGACATAGGGAGAGAATCTTAAGCAGGCTCCGTGCCTAGCTCAGAGCCTCAGATGTCACTACCGTGAGAGCAATGACCTGAGCAGAAATTAAGTCAAACACTTAACTGATAGAGCCAACCAGGTGCCCCAAAAGATGTTTATGTTTAACAAAAATTAGAGTCATCAAGAAAAAAAGAAAATTATATTCACTATGCCAAATTAAGGCAAGAAGTTTAATATAATTTCATAGACTTTTTTCATTAGCAAAAATTTACAAAAGTATAGTACCTAAAAGGTATTACTAACCCCTTCTCTATTTGTTATAATTGCTACAGCTAAAATTTCAGCAGTGCGAAATCAGTACAAAGTGTTTAACTTCCATAACTAAGGTTCATTGGTCATCACCTGAAGCTTCACTTCAACTGTATGCTAATATTCAATCAAAGAAAAATGTAAAGATCACCTTCTCACCACATTTACCACATATGAGGGTCTCTTAGTCACTAGGGGTTCATAAGAGACTGTGATTTTGTCAAAAATTGGTGTTTGAACTCTGCATACCATAAAATGCCAGCCACGATGATGGACAGTTTTCTAAATCCTATTAGCAATTTCTTCTAGCCATCTTACAGTCCTGTGTGGCACTATGCAGTAGGACTATGCTCACTTGGAGAACTCCATTTCCAGTTTTTGATGTAAGACAAGGGAGGCCACCAATAACTGGTGAAAGCTATTTTGCCCAGAAAGCAGGGTGATAGTCTGATAATGCCAGCCTCTCCTTCCCAAGTTACCTCTACCAATTTTCTCTTACACACATTTGCCAACTGAATTATAGGAAGAGACAAGCTAGGGGTGCCTAGGTGGCTCAATCATTTAAGCATCTGACTCTTGATTTTGGCTCTAGTCATGCTCTCACAATTGAGATGAAACCTTGCATCAAACTTCACATGGAGTCTCCTTGGAATTCTCTCTCTCCCTCTCTCTCTGCCCCTCCCCTGCTTACATGCATGCTCTCTCTCTCAAAATAAATATGTTTTTAAAAAATGGAAGATATGGGGCACCTGAGTGCCTCAGTCGGTTGAGAGTCTGACTTTGGCTCAGGTCATGATCTCAGGTTCACGAATTCAAGCCCCGCATCGGGCTCTGTTGCCGACAGCTCAGAGCCTGGAGCCTGCTTCAGATTCTGTCTCTTCCCTTCCCCTGCCTGCACTCTGTCTCTCTCTCTTAAAAAATGAATAAATGTAGGGGCGCCTGGGTGGCGCAGTCGGTTAAGCGTCCGACTTCAGCCAGGTCACGATCTCGCGGTCCGTGAGTTCGAGCCCCGCGTCGGGCTCTGGGCTGATGGCTCAGAGCCTGGAGCCTGTTTCCGATTCTGTGTCTCCCTCTCTCTCTGCCCCTCCCCCGTTC